CGCCGAAGACTGTATTCAAATTGCTCTTACATCCAAAAAGTCCCAATTTTAAAGTAATTATAACAAACATGAAGCAACATCATGTTTTCAAAACCTGAAGGGTGAAAGTTTTCAATTAATTTTTGTTTGTTCCTATTTAAGAATTTTATTTTGTTTGTCTATTACTATTTGTTACTATTTTCATGTAACTCTTTTTTATAAATATGTAAATGTAAATTAATTCAATAAATAATGACCGCTGCACTAGAATGTAGCGAGTTAAATGTTAAATCACTTTATATTCATTTTTTGGTGTAACTGTATCAACGTCCTTCCTTTGGTGAGCACTGTATTATAGCATCTACTATTATGTTATAAAGGATTAAATTGAATAAAATTGAAGATTTTCTACAAAACTTTGGAATATTACTATATACTATTTTACTATATTGAATTAATGTGAATATGTGTGTCTTTTTGTTTATAGGGATACGGCAGGACAGGAGAGATTCCGTACAATCACAACCGCCTATTACCGTGGCGCGATGGGTATAATGCTAGTGTATGATATTACGAACGAGAAGAGCTTCGAGAACATCAAGAACTGGATTAGGAATATCGAGGAGAACGCATCCGCGGACGTGGAGAAGATGTTGCTGGGCAACAAGTGCGAGCTGGAGGAGAAGAGACAGGTATCGAAGGAAAGGGGCGAACAACTGGCCGTCGAGTACGGCATCAAGTTCATAGAGACGAGCGCGAAGGCCAGCATCCGCGTCGAGGATGCCTTCTTCACGCTCGCCCGCGATATTAAAGCTAAAATGGAGAAGAAACTGGTCAGTACACTTTCCATCTCTTTTCTAATTCTACCTAATTGTAATTTATTTCTCACTCTCTTCTATTATTTTCTTTTGTTTTCTTACGATGATTCGATTTGTTATTATTATTATTATTATGTCCACCCGTATTGTTTTATTATTGCCATCTTTGCATTCACATGCAAACAACGAAAATACTTTTCGAAACGATTTATTTAGAAGTTGGTCACTAATTACTGTGTGTTTCTGTTTCTTCTCTCTTTCACGTGGGCAGAAGGTAATTAAGATTTACTGTTTATTCTATTTATCAGCATGTGCTCTCTTTTTGCTCTTTCTTTAACCACTTCTTAACTGTACTGCTTTCATGGACAACCTGCTTCGATCTTTATTTAACCCATTTCCATCGGTTGATGATTATAACATACATCTTCCTCCTATAACAAGCATGCAGCAAACCAATCTCTTTACTCGATATATATATTGCTCCCATATGAAAGGAAAATGTTATATAAATTATTTGAGAATCGATCACACATTGCAATCTATAATTAATTGATAATTAACAACATCGTTGCCTGAATTATTAACAGTATGTTAGCATGTTACTAACTTATTTTGTAGTTATTACTAATTCCACTAATTTTATGAAATATCCTACAGTAACTGCACAAACGAATTGTTATTTAAACGAAAAGAAGTATCATGTTATATTGTTTACTTGTTCCAGGCTAAAAAGGATTATTTTCAAGTAGCGTATCTGATGTCACTATAGCATTTCATTTATATAACCTATTTCAGTCCAAGATTTACTTATTCCGTTTTACCCTTTATTGCAGTGCTAATTAAATAGGATATTTCATTAATTGTCCGTTTGAATGTCAAAGCCATGCCCAGAATGTGAATCTCCGCTTAAACTATGGAACTTCTTCATTTAGATTGTAAAACGCGATGTGTAATTTGCGAAACGATGAATCTGCATGCAAAGAGGATTCTCGAGTAAAATAACATTCAACATTATGATGATCTGTCTTCTGTCTATCAGGATTTAGAGCTAGGCTTCATTGAAGATTAAGAGCTTGAGGATTCTCATGTAACGAAATGCAAATACTTTGAGGTGTAGCTTTTTTTTCTGTTCTTTGTTTTGCGCATTTGGGTGACTGCGTTAATCAATGATGGCTAATTGTTGTTTTCTTTTGTGCTGTAGGAGGCCAGCAATCCGCCCAAAGGAGGTCACCAATTGAAAGCGACGGAGCCGCAGAGGAAACCGACAAATTGGCTTTCGCGTTGCTCCCTGCTCTGACCTGATAGAACTTACTATAAAAACTCATCTAAAGACATCGTCGACAACATCATCATCTTCATCATCATCATCGCCACGAACCTTCCTCCCGCGCGCGGTTTCGTGCATGCGTCGCATGAAAATAAATAGTAAACTTAAACGGACAAAAAAAAAACAACAAAACGAAACGAAAACTGAGACAAAAAAAACAACAACAGCAACAACTTACACAGACACACAGAAACAGAGTTAATAGGAGAAATAGTAATTGTATAACGGTGATTGAGAATTTTTATGTAATGTACCTTTTTGTATCGTGTGTCTATTGACGGTTTTTCTACACTTGAAATACGCGCTCCCTTTTTTCTTTTCTTTTTATTTTTTATATATATATAAAACCTGTATAACAAATAGGTATGTTATGTATATATCATTAGAGACACTGAACACACCCTCCTCTTCCATACACATCCACCACACACGAACACAAAACCATGGAACATGCTTTTTTTTATACATGTGATTAAGGTATTCAATAACATATTTTCTTTTTTTTAATTATTATTATTATATATATAAATATTTAAAAAAAAATAGTTTAATTTTATATTTATGTTGATTCCGCAGTTGAAGTGCACTTCGAAGGAGGCGGCGAAACGTGTTTGTCGAGTGTGATTCATCTTATTATATAAATATATATATTGTCCTAAGCGAAATTAGTGCGTTACATAAAAAGAAAAATGTTGTGGTTAAGATATGGTACATCTACAAAAGAAATACTTTAATTTTAAATTTCCATGTACATAATTTGCTTTTTACTATTATTATTATTATTATATTATATATATTTTTAAAGGAAATGTGAGACGCCAAAAGAAGGGAAGCAACAATAACAACAATAATATTATTGAAATAATAAAATTTAAAAAGAAAAAAACGAGCTGGTTAGTTTTCGGGTGAATGACAAGAGGAATCGATTATTATTATTTTGAAGGGAGAGAATGAATGATCTACGGGCACTACTAAATTAGGTAACTCTTTAGGAATCAATCAACTTTCAAAACGAAAAAGAAAGAGCTTTATATATATAAATATGTATTCTTTTTTTTATGTTTTATTTTTCTTCCTTTTCGTTGTTTTATCAAAGGTAATAAATACTATTAATAGATTTTATACATTTTATAAACAATAAAATATGTCTCTTATAATATATATTTTGATGCCCAACTAAATATATAAATATCATTGCAATTATAATACCGATTCAGAAATCAAAAAGAAAATAACGAAAAGAAAAGTGTTTTCTTGCGTTAAAGTAATTTTACTTTCTGTGAAAATAATTTTAAAAAAAAAGTACTCACTCTTATGGGTAAAATAGATCCACACTAAAAAATATAGCTATTGCGGAGTGTACCTCTTTAGGGGTACCGGAGGAACCTTTCCAGTTTCGGACCAAATCTTCCTAGAGGATCCTCAGGAAATATGATCATATCGCCGACCCAAGTCGGCATCAAAAGACCGCGCTCGATGGTTGGACCCAAACGCGGATCTTCTGCCAAGAGGTCACGGTAATTGTCCTGGGTCACGATAATGGCTCGCATAGCCGCAGCAGCCTGGACCAAAATCCTAAAAGAAAAAAAAACTTTCAACTTTAGTAAACAACGAAGAAAATTATGATTTGCATTGGTGTTAACTCAAAAGATTTAAGAAAATAATGATATTAATGATATTTTGCATTCATAGAAATATCCCAAGTTAGCTTGAAATATTTGTTATAAATTTTCTAATTAAAAAATATTGAAGAATTTTTGTTTACATCAATTATTATTTCAAATACGAATTGATTGTTAACACTATTATTTCCAGAATTTGTGTAGAAAACTTGTAATTTTGTTTGTAATAAATCAAAAGCGTGTGATTATTAAATCTGCTTTAAAAGGAATGAGAGAGTACTGATCAAATTATAAAAGTTGCTTTAAAGAAATTACCTGTCGTCATATGAACAAATTTTCTTTCCAAAGATTTCCCTCGAAGAGGTGCAAAAGACGAGCTGTTCATCGACGAGCTTCATCAGGAGTGCCTGGTTATCGGATTGGTTTCTCTTCAGGCGATAGGACGGAACGAAGGCGTACACTTTGTGACCGCGTTTCACGAAGAAGTCGATGCAAATCTTCAATCCGCGTACGGAAAAGTTCCTCCCCTGACTGTGACTGAAAGTGAAAAGTTTGAGATTATTCAAATTATTTGATTAATAGATTCTTACCCTAACGCTATGTTGCTGCCATCGATTACTATCGGCCTTAAACCTCGCTTGAAAGTCTTGAATTCGCACTGAATGTTCTCCGAAATGAATTGCTGCGAGGTGTGATATACGCTCTTGTTGTTTATATTTTCGTCTTCCTCGTCGGGAATTTCGATTACCTTCTCCGTCTCCACTTTCTTGTCGTTTTCAACTTTATTTTCTTCGGGTTGCGTCTGCTTCTGATTCTCCGTAATTTGCTTGAAGTAATCTGTAATTTTGTCCAAAAAGTGCGGGACTTTGGAGCAGCCGTCGCATTTCTTGATAGGCGTTGATGTTATAAGACTACCTTTAAAAGATGTACTCGAAGACGCCGCTACAACTATGGGCGATAATCCGATATCTCTCGTTTTTGGTACGATAGTGTCCTCGTCGTCGCTCAACAAACCATCGAAACGCGACTCCAACGTTTCGTCCTCATCCTCGCTTTCTTCCAGCACGGTTTCCAATCTCTGCCTCTTCGGTGTCCTCGTGTCCAAATCCAGAATAGATTTACGTTTGCTCGTATCGTTCAGCGATTTACCAATCACCGTCATCTCGCCAGTCTCCGAAAGCACGATGAAATCATCACCCAAGAACAACGTGGAATCCAATTCACCCTCTTCAGACATGATGAAATCCTGTAAATAAATCAATTTACAATAATTCTTACTAATAATCAAATGCACTTACGTCAAGAATATTACTGACACAGAGAGAACTTCTGCTTTGGTTTGTTTGTAGTCCTATGCCAAACTGCAACTGACTCTCCCTGGGCAAGACTGCACATATATACCCTTGTAGATTTCACGTTTTACAAAGAAACTATTTTCTTGTATCTGAAGATTAGTCTGCAAATAAAACAACATACCAATAAATGTACAAGAAAAACTATATTAGTACCTAGTTTTCATAAGAAGATAAGCTACTTATTGAATATAGAAAGTAACACTTG